CATCTTTCCATCATACATTGGCCAAGTTTCAATGAGATAGCCCAACAAACAACCGAGAAAAAAAAGTATTTACCAAGAATCATATATGGCAAGCCCAAGCCAGGTACTGGAAATAAGTCACTTTGTCTGACTTTTCTGGGTTATCCTAGGTTCTCTATACATACACTGCTATGTATGATAATCTATGTAACTGTATTTGTGTATACCTGAATAAACTTATTTACTTCTAGTCTGTCAACTGAGTACAAGAAACCGCCCATTCACTTATTTCAACTACCCAATAAAGTGGTCAGAAATTGGCAATTTGGCTGATTTCACACAAAATTTCACAGATGCCAATTTCAAAATAGGGTCCAGAATAAACAATGCAGACATTCCCAGCACTAAAATAACATTTTCTCTGTTCATTAGTCACGACTACAGGCCCCTCTTATATTACTCTTGCTTACCATTTGGAATTTTTATTCACAAAAAAAAAAAAAAATAGAAGATTTACTGTTATGCACACTACTGCATTATTGTAATAATTGTATAAATAATGTCAATCCATTCTTGACTCCGTACTGGAATTTAGACTGGCAGGTGGACAGGTATTGGACGGTGACGTCATTTGTTTACTCTTGAGCTTCGCTAAAGAATAGAACATTTTCGCTACTGTGAGCGCAATTTCAAGGTACTTTTTGTCATGAAAGCAATCAAAATCATATCTATTTCTGTAATATATCTTTCATTCTATCAAATGAGACCGAAAAAATGAGAATATAACCATAACCATCCAAAAATATACTGCTAAGCGGCCGCTAATGGCTGAGAAGTGAACTCCGCTATTTATGGTCTGATTTCTTTCATTTTTGGTGTACGTGAAGAAGTATCTTTCCATCATACATTGCCCAAGTTTGAATAAGATAACCCAACAAACAACTGAGAAAATAATAATAATAATATAATAATAATAATAATAATATCTTTATTTACTACACGTACATGTACAAGGTATACAGGCCTAGCTGACATCAGTGACATACTACTGTATAGAAAGGCACTTGTTATGCTGAGTATTTCAATAAAATTAGGTCAGTGTCCCAGGATAACACCCACACCAGATGACTAACACCCAGGTACCCATTTACTGATGGGTAAACATAGACAACAGGTGTAAAGAAACATGCCTAATGTTTCTACCCTGGATGGGAATCGAATATTTACCAAAAATCACATATGGCTAACCCAAGCCAGGTACTAAAAATAAGCCACGTTGACTTTTTTGGGGTTATCCTAGGTTCTCTACACATATGCTGCTATGTGTGATAATCTATATAGAGAAAATAACTTTTTTGTTTCATGTTTATGGTGGAGTACGAGTGTATATCATAGTTAGCCCTGTGCTATACTCCGTTTTCTCTAATATAAGCCCCCAAGACAAGGATAGGAGAATGGTACTTGTTTACCATATCCTCTTCATAACTCTGTCGAACTGCTCGCTGTTATGCCAAATATTATTCATTCTGGAGTATTTAACATGTTTTATGTTATTTATATTGTTTCTTATGTCATATTAGATCAATTGTGATAGGCAAATAAGCTGTAGTGTTGATATTAGCGTAATAATAAAGCATATTCTCCTGCTTCATGAGACTGAGCTCATGGCAACCGACAGTGGCTTCAAAGCCACCTTATCTTTAATGGATAATGTACTGTGTAGGTGCTTTACATAATGAGAAGCATTTCTTTTATTCATTGGAACCATGGCTAGGGCTAAAAGTAAGCAGGTTAAAACAATAAATGGAGAAAAAGAAATTTGAATGACTTGTGCAGCAAGTAGCGCCACCAAACAGTACCAGCAGGTTGGTGTGGCGACCCTGGAAATTTGAAATTATGCTAGCCAAAATTAGTGCCGAATAACTGAAGGAACCGAATAACTGATTGCCGGATTTGTGATGGCGGACCTGTACTAAATTTTTCTTAACAAGTTCCTGTTTTAGTAATTATAACATATACCAGTACAGTAGAACCTCGGCTTACGAGTCCCCCATCATACAAGTTTTTCAGGATACGAGCAGTCACTCAGTTGATTTTTTGTTTCTGGATACGAGTAAAAATTCAGGATGTGAGCTTCCCCCTCAAACAACTTTTTTTTAGACCTCCAGATCTTACAAAAGTAAAAGTGAATATATAATTGTAGTTCATTGTTGTGATGTATTATGTTGTTTTTACTACTTAAGACTATAACTGCAACAGAAATAATAGCATTTCTTACCTAAATTGCGGGTGCTGGTGTTTGTCGATGATTGTGAAGAGAGTGGAGAGTTATGCTGTGGCCCTATTGGGCTCCGGTGGATGATAGAGGTTCTGGTACTGAAGTCGATGGTTGTACTGGAATGTGCATAAATTCTGTAATGGATTTCTGTTTTATTTTACCCTGCAGTACATTATACAACTGATGGTAAGGCATCAGCTGCTTTAAACACCGTTTCAGGGTCCTCTTCAGTCAAAAAGTCTAAGTCATTTAGTTAAGTCAGTGAGTTAAATCAGTTAGTCAAGCCATTCAGTCAAATCAGTAAGCCAGTCAAGTCAGTAAGTCATTCAGCAACACTGGAATGCCTACTGGGTGTCATCGTTGCTTGGCATATACACCTACCATCCGACTTACGACCTGCTCGACATACGACCACTCGACTTATGACCGTGTTTTTTATGCCAAATTTCTGGGAAATAAACAACTGTTTGTGTTGCACACAGTGTTTATCCTAAACCTTACAGTATAAAATACAGTACTAACAGCATAAAAAGTAAAGTAAAACATGAAATACCAAAATAAAACAATAAAATAAAGTCATTACAAAAATGTGATGTTGATATTCAGTAGTAAAGTTCGACTTACGTCCATTTCGACTTATGACCGGTTTCTCGGAACCGAACTCGGTCATAAGTCGGATGGTACCTGTACAAGATATGGTAATTAAAAGATCAAAACACATTCACAAACACAGCTAGCTTGTAGGAGAGAAGTGGAACTGAACACCTAAGCTGGGATGGTGGTATCGGGAGTGTCAGTGGATGGCAGGGGATGGCATAAGGTCTCCCCCGCTGATCCACAACAAGGCGGCCGCCACCATTTGTCACATAATGACATATTTTATTCATTCTAGAGCACATACAGTATCAGGTTTCTATGTTATTTATATTGTTTATGTCATATTAGATGAATTGTGATAGATAAATAAGCCATAGAGTTGATATTAGCATCATATTCCTGCCTCCTGAGAGCAGGAATTCTGCTGGAACAGATTAATGGCATTTCAATTAATTTAAATGAGGAAAACTGACTCAGCATACTAGCAGATCAGGATACGAGCAAGGTCACAGAACGGATTAAACTTGTAAGCCGAGGTTCCAGTGTATATGTATAGCATCCTACAACAGCGTTCAAGTTTTTTTTTTTTTTTCAACAAACCAGCCAAATCCCACCAAGGCAGCATGACTTAAAAAGAAAAATGAAAGTTTCTCTTTTTAAATTTAGTAATGCATACAGGAGAAGGGGTATTAGCTCCTTGCTCCCAGCATTTTAGTCACCTCTTACAATACTCATGACTTATGGAGGAAGAATTCTGTTCCACTTTCCCATGGAAATAAGAGGAAATAAACAAGAACTAGTAAGAAAATAGAAGAAAACCCAGAGGGGTGTGTATATACATACATGTATATGCTTGTACATGTATAGGTAGTGTGACCTAAATGAAAGTAGAAGCAGTAAGACATACCTGAAACCTTGCATGTTTATGAGAGAAAAAAGACACCAGCAATCCTACCACGTTAAAACAATTTTACAGGTTTCCATTTCACACTCACTTGGCAGGACAGTAGTCCCTCCTGGGAGGATGCTGTCTACCAACCTTACTACCTAGGTCAAAAGTAGTTCTTTTCACTAAATATAATTCTTATCTTACTAGAATTTAGGAAAAAAATCTTGAATCCTTTCACGGGTTGGTCAAAAAGATCAACATCACTGGGGTCAGTGTAGCTCACTTAGATCTGTGCTTTAAGTCATAGTGCTCCCAAATTTGTTGTGAGTGGCAGTTTTGGTCAAGACATGAGAGAATGGGTCTGTGCAGTGGTTGTGCATAGTATCAAAAAAATCTTGTCTCCATGCAATGCATGATAGGAACAGATATTTTTCCCTTGTGTTTGGGTTAAAACAGTAAATTTGGGACATTTTCTAGGGTGGCTTTCATGGGTTTCTTAATGTCAATAGCTAGATCCAAAGACATACTGGTGAAATGGAGAGGATTTTGTGGCCTGAAATCATCCTCAAAGAAGCAGAAATTATCAATTTTTTTTGATTTTCCTGGGAAGGGAAGGGCCTTCCCTCCCCCCTCCTCTCAATGGTCTGTTTCATAGGTTTTTGTAGGTCTGCTTCAATTATTAGGAAGGGGCCTCAAACCATTCTTGTTATGGTTTATTACCCAAGAAATAGGGAAAAAAAAACATAATTTTTGTGTTAAATGGTTTCAAAATGGAGGGCTAGTGTTAGAGAGGAAAGGTTGGGACATGATTAATAAAACACAGGGAAAGTTGCTTTAATGGCTGGAATGCTTACAGTGTATGTTTGAATTCTGCTTTTAAATTGGAATTTGTTGAAAAGAGCATAAAACGGGCCCAAGTCAATGACTTCTGGGTGCTTAACTCTAGTTGAAGAAGCAGTTTTTTTCTGATCAGTGGGTAATATGGAAGGCATAATAGCAATATAACCAGGAAGTGAGATGGTTTGAGCACTGAAACTTATCTAAAAGTGGGTGAAATTGTTGCTGTATAAAGTGCTCCCCGACTTTCCATTTTGCACCTGCATATTTTCATAAGCATTATATCAAATCTGTATTTTAGAAAAAAATTCTCTATTTCAGAAATTACTACTTTTTAAATGCAGACAGAAGGTGCTTTCAATCTGGAAGGTGTCAATAGAGAAAGGGTTAAATATTAAGTCAGAAGAGCTGGTAACTTACCCCCTCTTTGTAAACAACATGATATGCAACATTTTTCCTGTTAGCAATGATTTCTGAACTCTGGGTATAGGACAGGAACTGCTGAGCTTCTGCATCTGACATGTACAGTGTCAGACTTACAGGACCTGTAAATCAAAATCAAAGGATTAACTACTCAGTACATAACTTCTGTGTACAAGTTCAGTTTACTGAAAATAGCACTATATACAGTTCCCCTCACTTCATGCAGGTTCAATTTATGTGAATTTGCTATTATATGATGTCCTATATCGATCAGTAATTCTGTACATGTGATCAGTGCAGTTTACAATTTTTTTTTATTTTTTTTTTTCAACAAGTTGGCTGTCTCCCACTTAGGCAGGGTGACCCAAAAAGAAAGAAAATTCCCAAAACAAAAATACTCTCATCATCACTCAACACTTTCACCTCACTCATATATAATCACTGTTTTTGAAGAGGTGCCCAGATACAACAGTTTAGAAGCATATATAAGGATACAATATAAAAAGTGACCTGAAATAATATAATAAACTCCCTATAGAATATAATATCAGGGCCCCAATTATATATATACTGTCCTATTACACATCCCTCCAAACTGCCAATGTCCCAAACCCCTCCTTTAAAGTGCAGGCATTATAGTACTTCCCCTTTCCAGAACTCAAGTCCGGCTATATAAAAATAACCGGTTTCCTTGAATCCCCTCATTAAATATTACCCTGCTCACACTCCAACAGATCGTCAGGTCCCAAAAACCATCCGTCTCCATTCACTCCTATCTAACACGCTCATGCACGCTTGATGGAAGTCCAAGCCCCTTGCCCACAAAACCTCCCTTACCCCCTCCCTCCAACCTTTTCGAGGATGACCCCTACCCCGCCTTCCTTCCCGTACAGATTTATACGCTCTCCATGTCATTCTACTTTGATCCAGTCTCTCTAAATGACCAAACCACCTCAACAACCCCTCTTTAGCCCTCTGACTAATACCTTTATTAACTCCACACCTTCTCCTAGTTTCCACACTTCGAATTCTCTGCACAATGTTTACACCACACATTGCCCTATAGACAGGACATCTCCACTGCTTCCAGCCACCTCCTCACTGCAGCATTTACAATCCAAGCTTCACACCCATATAAGAGTGTTGGTACCACTATACTTTCATACATTCCCTTCTTTGCCTCCACTGATAACGATTTTTGTCTCCACATATACCACATATACAAAATATAATGAATTTTTATTATATAAAATTAAGTGTTGATGGTCCGTAAAATTGTAGGGTTTGCAGGATCTGGAAACATTTGCTGAAAAAATGGGGACTTTCTTTTATATTTTGATAAAATTCAAAATTAATATGATCATACAATGTGAGTCCTGTCATAAACAACAAAGTTATTTATCACAAAATTAAGATAACTCCCAAACTGCAAAATTTTTATATTGTACTAATACGTATAGTTATGCTTTTTTTTAAAACGTCGGCCTTTCCCCCACTGAGGCAGGGTGCCCCCAAAAAAAAGAAAAAATTTCACCATCTTCCCCCCACAAATCACTTTTTTTGCGAGATGCCAGATTGACTTTTAGATATACTTAAAAACGCCAATATCCCAAACCCCTTTTTTCAGTGTGCATGATTCCCCACCCCCGGACTCGTTGGCAACCAGTTTCCCGAACCTTCAGAACTTTACCTGTCATACTCCAACAGCTCGTCGGCCCAAAAAACCTTTGTCCCCATTCATTTCAAAACACGCTCACACATCCCTGCTGAATGCCCAGGCCCTTGCACACAAACCCTTTTCCCCCTTCCCTCCCCCTTTCCTAGGAGACCCTCCCCATCCCCCCCTCCCTGCAAATTTAAATTCCCCTCAAATCTTCTTTTTGCTCATTTCTTAAATGAAAAAACCCCCTCTAGCCTTTTCACCCCTCTGAATAATCTTTTGAACCCCACACCCTCCTAATTTCCCACTATAAATTTCTCTGATAATATTTACCCCCCCCCTTTTGCCTTGATATGATATTCCACGGCCCCAAACCCTCCCTTCCTGCGTACCCAAAAAACCCATGCTTCACCCCCATAAAGATTCCCGGTTTTACTATATTTGTACTTTTTCTTGCTTCATGGTAACATTTTTTTCCACATTTTCAATACCCTACCCCTTTTTTCCTTCATCAAATTTTGGTTAACTTTGCACTTCAAAAACCCCTTGGATTAAATCTACTCCCAAAAAATCTGAAAAACACTTCAATCCATTTTGTTTTGATTCCCATAATTTAATCTCGCCCCCCCAAACCTAATATACTTCTTTTCAACTCTATCTATAAAAATATTAAAAAACCCTGGTGACTTACCATCCCTGTCTAGGCTACTTTTACTGGATGTGAGCCCACTCTCTTTACACACTCTAATCTGAGCTCAACTCTCTCATAAAAAATCTCTTATACAGTATTTAGCAACTTACTACCTTCCATACACTTACACATCTGCCATAATTGCTCCCTATCACTCCATAGATGCTTTTTAAATTCATAAATGCAATGAAAACATTCTACTTTTATCTAAATATTGTTCCTTATATGCATTCATGTAACACTATCGACATCCCCTACCATTCTAAAGCTCTTTGTTTATTCATCTGCAACCTGCTCTGTTTACCTCTATTTTTTTGTCAATAATTACCTACCATACAACTTTACTGTATATCGTAAACTTCATTCCCATATTTTTAGTCTCTTTTGTCTTCTTTCCCTTATATAAGGAGAATACACATTCTTTTGCAATCCAAAGGTCCTTCTTTCCTAGTTTATTGAACAAAAAACTACCACCCACTCCAAAACTTTAATTTCCCCCTGCTTTTACATTTCGTCATGATCCAATCAGTTCCAGCTGCTTTACCCTTACATTCTCCGGGTGAATGCCTAACGCACTCCCACCTCTTCATCCGGCTTCTTCTTTACTCTAAAGGATGTTGTTATCTCCTGGCCTGTGCATGAACTTATGCCTCTCTTTCTACAACATATAACACTTACCAAAAAGATTCCCACCAGCTTCAAATACCTCCAATCCCATAACTAACTCCCTGTTTTTAAATGGTCCAATCCATTCGTTCCCTAGGCTTTCTTAAGAACTTATTTATATCACTCCAAAACTTTTTTCTTATCTAGCAACTTTGTGACAGCACTCGCCCACTTTATCATTTGCTCTCTTTTGCATTTACCTCACCCATTATCTACACTCCATTTTACTCTTCCATATAGTCCACGTTCTTATATCACTTCTGCCCTGTAAAAATCTCTTTATGTGACCTTTTTTCTTTTTTAATATTTGTGACGGGATTCAGGGAAACATTCCATGGGTGAGGGATAGAACCATGATCAGAAAAGTATAAAAACTCAGACCGAGTGCTAGTCACTGGGCAGCTGGTTACACGAATCGTGGATTCAGGGCAACCGGTTAGCCAGACTCGAGTTCAGGAAATGGGAAGTACAATGCCTGCACTTTCAGTAGTAGTAAGTTTATTCAGGTATTACCACACAAACAGTTACACAGAAGTATCATACTAGCAGCCATGTGTAGAGAACCTAGGATAACCCAAAAAAGTCAGACCCGAGTGACTTATTCATTGAGGGTCCTTTTACATATATTATAATATAAAGTTATTCTATTTTTTATTAATCTATAAGGAAGTAACATCTTATTATCATACTAAAAAGGACTATCTACTACCGATGGTCATTAGACTATCTACAATACGAGGGTCATTAAAGGAGGAATAAGGTAAAATTTACAGCATGTTAGGCTTAAAATATAGAAAATTTTCCCCTCCCTTTTGTAGTACATTCATCAGACCCCTTTTGGCACTCTTCTTGAACTGGTTCATGTATGACTGGCTTTGACATGTGGGGTAGTCTGTTCCATTCCTTTATTGTGTACCAATAAAAGGTGTTTGAAGCCTGGCCACTTGACTGTGGGTAATACAAAGTGTGCTCTTCCCCTAGTTACTAATGAATATTGCTTTGGAGTTCCCACCCTTGACAAAATACTGAACGCAAGATATTTGGACACTGTTTGTGAGCAATTTTATAACTGATTTAGTTCGTTGTTTTTACCTCTGTCTTCACCATTCAGCATATCCATACTGCTGTAAATTCAATCTGGCTACATGTTCTCTTGGTCCCAGCCCAGGATACATCTTACGATTTTGTTCTGGGTGATTTTGCAAGTTATCTTTCAGTTTTTTTGTCAAGGCAGCGTCCCATGGGAAGAGCAAGGTGTATCATTACGGCATTGTATAAGGTCTAGAATTAGGGTCTGCGAGCTCAGTAGGTAGGGCATTGTGCTTGTCTATAAGGAATTAGTCTGGCATACGCTCTCGTTACTACACTGTTCCCTATCATCTCCTGCCATGCCATGGCGTCAAAGGGGTTCAGATATTTTACAGATGAAACCAAAGTGTGGGCTCACCATTACACTTGGGACATTAAAATTATTTACCTTCTCGTTTTATGTTTCGTGCAAAGAGAATGGCTTCAGTTTTCCCGAGTGTAATGATAGTAGTTGTCTACTATACATTTGCTTGCAGGACTCCAGTACCAGAGTTAAAACATAAGCTATATCATGTGGGTCTTTCCTCCACTAAAAGGGGCACTGTCATCTGCAGACGGTAGGAGTTTGCATGCCACTGATTAGCATGCCATTGATACAACCATAAGAATAATAAGGGACCAGAATACTCCCTTGGGGAACTTCACATGTTATCGGAGGGGTTCTGATTCCTTTTGTTGATTTTGACATTTGGCTCCTGTTGCTAAGGTCGGACTTAAACAGTCTACAGAACCTATACGATTAGCTTGAAGTTTCTTACTAAAATATTGTGGTTGACCAGTATCGGAAGGACTTCTGCAGGGTCTACGGTTACCATAACTTGCGGTTCCCCTTTGACAGACTTTCAGTTCTGGTAATCCAAAGATCAATTAGGGGGGTATCGGTTGAGGAAAGCTCTTTTAAAGCCCGCTTGATAGCTATGGCGAATGTGTTGTCATTAAGTACTTAACTACTTGAGAGTACACTGCCCTCTCTAGAATTTTGGATATTATACCGGAGTATACTAACGGCCTATAGT